GCAACAGACCATGTTTCTGTTAATCAAATGTAATGTTCTCATTGGCTTCCATTCTAATTTTTTTAAAAAAACAAAACTTTTGTTCCCCTTTTTGAAACTCTTTATTAGCAGCATTTGATTCCTGTCTCTTCAAGAGCAAATCTAGTGCAACCCTAGTTCTCCCCAGGGCTCGTATTAAAAGAATCTGTTAATGAAAACATTTTAAGAGCCAAGAATCTTAGTAATCTCATCCTGATCAAAGTTCATGAAATCAGAGTTTTTACATATTGACATGTTGCTGTATAAAGATGAAATATAACAGAAAACATAATATACATCCATGACCAGACTCCTCTATTAGTCTATTGGCCCCTAAATCTCACTTGCTTATACGGTTGTGTTATATCTGAGTTTGAATTGGGATTCTGCTCCTTATTAGATTTAGAGTAATTTGATAAATTTCCCTTATCCTCAACTTCTTTATCAACATGAAAATGAAAATACCCAACTGTGGGGAAAATAGAGTAGTTTAGTCAGGCCCTGTCCCCTCAGGTCCGGTTGGGGGTGGTGCAGCACATTCTTTGTAAACAAGTTGTGCTGGGGTGGAGTTAGTGCACATACGTGCCCATGTATTTTTACCTTGTTGCTACTGTGTGTTCTTCAGAGTATGTGAGGCAGTGGCTCTGAACTCCTGGTGGGCAGAGCTCATGTCTAAAAATAAAGCTTATTGTTTCTTCACTCACGGCTCCAAGGACCTTTTCATCTTACCCAGCTTGTAGACCTGCTTGTGAAGCGTTTGGGACCCACTCTGGACAATGTGCCCGAGGGGTCTGTGAGCTGCAGACCCAGTCCTAGCTCTACACTAACTCATGGGGTTCCTGGGATGTTTAAATGAGACAATATCCATATAGTGCTGGCTACTTTGTAGTTACTAAGTGTGTTTTATTTATTAATATGGTTACAATGCAGAGTTTCTCTTTGGGGTGATAAAAAATTTTGGTAATAGATAGTATGACAGTTGAAGTTTAAAACCCATTGTATTTAAAAATACGTTTCTGAATTTTGGTTTCAGAAATTCAATGAAATTCTCCCCGCATGCGTTATGAGACACTGTGACATTCAGGCTGCATTTGCCCCTTTTTAGCAGGTCGGTGGGGGGTTGAAAAGCGTAGCCCCCGACTTGTGAGAACCGCGCCCTCTAGCGGCCAGTACGTGTCAGTGCAGCCGCCGCTGCGTTACTGAACAAGGCATTTGGCAGCAGGGTCCGCTTTAAATTGCACGTTCTTAGCTTTTAAACCTTGAGAGCCACCATCAAAAAGCAAAGGTGAATTTTACAAGAAATTACAGTGAGAGGACCAGTAAGATGGGGAGCACACATGACTTGTTTCCTGTCATTTGCGTGAACCGTGTTTCGCTCCAGCAGAGAAGCTTAGAGAAAGCGTCGGGCAGGACACCTGCACCTGCACCTGCTGGCTCCTCAGCCCTGGTCGCTGCTGACCCTGATCTCCGTGTTTCCACAACGTTTACCCCTTTCCAACAAGCCGCTCCCCTCCTTTCTGTTATTATTATGTACGGTCCCCCCTCCCAGCAGAACGTAAGCTGCACAAGAGCAAGGATGTTGTTTGCCCGGCTGTTGTTCACCGATAGGTCCCACATGTCCAGAACAGCGCTTGGCTAGTGGCATGAGCTCGGTGACTACGAGTGGCTGCGACTGGGGGTTTTCTGATGTTGCAGCTGAAACAGATCGTAGCCTGTATCCTGCTCTCTGCTGCATTTGAAGGAGGAGATGCTGCTAAGCTGTCACTTAAGGACAGGAACATTCAGTTTTTCTCTGCAGCCATGACACATTCTCTCTAATCCTCCTCTTCTTTCCTTTATGACAAACAGCAGATTGCGAGCAGCCAGCCACGAGCAAAGACACTCAGACTGCAGCCTGGGAGCAGAGCAGGGCTTTGGGCCGTCTGGGCTGCAAATCGCCCATGTTGGCCTCCTTAGCATTGGTTCTGCTGCCAATCCCTGCTCCCACTTCCTCCCCGGCCACCTGCTGTCACTAGGGCAAGGGGGCACACCTGGAACTGCGATTCCTGTCTTCCCTCCCAATCTTCCTGCTGATGTGTGCTCTGGCCTCGGCCATCAGTCAGCTCGGTGCTGCCTGGCCATACCAGCCACCAAGTGCTGCGTGTGCTCACGCCTAGCGCTGTTTACAAAACACTTGCTGATCCTAAGATCGACATTTCCTTTGGATAATTCTCCAGAAGAGTCATCAGCTCTGCTCCCATGGCCAAGCAGTATAAATAGGTCGCCAGCACCAGCAGGACTCTCCTGGCCTCACCATGGTCCTGCACACCAGCTGGGCTTGTCAGCTTAGTTGAGTGTGTGTCCAAAGACTCCACCACCCTCTGGTTTTCAAACTGAAGGAGAAACAAGAATAAAGCCGCATCCAGGTGTGTATGATGAGACTGGCATGGCAGAGGTGGCATTTGGAAGAGGCTGTCATGAGACGGAGCAGAGAGCAGCCTCGGGGAGACACTTAAACTCGTATGTAAGAGCCACATCTCTGTACTGTGTGCTGCAGATGTCTTTGGTCAGACTGATTGTTAGTTCAAAGATCATTTTAAAATAGCATATTACGTAGTGTTTAGACGAAAAAAGTGTGCTGTTTGTGCTTTTATCTTACATTTGAAGAATGCCCTCAAAATTTGAGAGGAAATGACTTAAATCGGTTATCTGTAAAAGTTTGACTGTGAAAGAGAGCTAAATTAACCGTGAGGATTCAGGCTATAATTTTTTAAGTAAGAGACTCCATTTTATAGAGTCTTTATAGGTTCCCAGCAAAATTGAACAGAGTATAGAGAGTTCCTATCTATCCATCTCTAGGGTCTCCCCCACTATCAATGTCACCCACCAGAGTGGTACATTTGTTATTTTCAGTGACCCTGCACTGACACGTCATCATCACCCAGAGTCCACAGTTTACATTTGGGTTCACTCGGGGTGTTGTATATTCTGTGGGTTTTCACAAGTGTATAATGATGTGTATCCACTACTACAGCGTCACTACAGAATAGTGTCACTGCCCTAAACATCCTCTGTGCTCCACCTATTCATCCCTGCCTTCTCCCATCCCCTGCTAACCCCTGATGTTTTTAATGTCTCCATAGATTTTTTCTTTTCCAGAATCTCCTATAGTTGGAATCATACAGTAGGTATCCTTTTCAGATTGCCTTCTTTCACTTAGTAGTAGACATTTAAGGCCTTTTGTCTCCTTTTGTGCCTTGACAGTTCATTTCTTTTTAGCACTGAATTATATTCCATTATCTGAATGTACCACAGTTTATTTTTACATAAACCTACTGAAGGTCATCTTGGTTGTTTCCAAGTTTTGGCAAGTATGAATAAAGCTGCTGTAAACATCCATGTGCAGGTTTTTGTGTGTACATGCATTTTGCACACTGTCATTTTTAATCTTTACTTCTCAGTATCAAAAAACAGTGGCTGGTAAATCTTGGCCCAAAGAGTAAAGCTGTAAATCTAATTTCTGCTATGTGTCCTCACCAAGGCAATCATCCCAAATGTCAGAAAAATCAATAAGAGTTTGAAAGAATCATGGTGGAAGTATCTAGTCACAGTAGCCAGAGATTATTGGACTCAGGAATGATTAGGCCAAGAGTATCCAGTAAGTGCAGACTAGATGCAATCATGAACCTCCCTTTGATTGCATGAGAACTTGAAACTTGCTGTGATTGATTTTAACCTACATAGTGTGGGTTCTACTTATGGAAGCAAGGACAGGAAAATGGCCTACACAAGCCCTTTTAAAAAGGGCAGAACAACCAGAACACACAGTGGTGCCCCAATAGCTTTAATGCAGCAAGGACAGGAAAATGGCCTACACAAGCCCTTTTAAAAAGGGCAGAACAACCAGAACACATGGTGGTGCCCCAATAGCTTTAATGCAGATCCAGGTGTCAAGTGAGCACTGAAAACTGGGGGTAGGGTAGATGAGTAGGATCAAAGCTCATGAAAGGGACATTAGCCAGAAAAAACAACCATCTTTGGGGTAACTAAGACCAAGCAGAACATTTTTAGCCAGACTTTAACTTGGAAACTGATAATTATCACTTCCTTGAGGTTAGCAGAAGAATTGAGAGACGGCCGGGAGATGAAATCACTGCCTCCTATGTTGATGTACTTCAGAGGGGGGCACCTGCAATGAAGGACTGAACCTGGGTTTCTTGTTTTTCTTACCAAAAGGAGAGATAAGAGAGAGGCAGACAGCCGAGCTGGTTGTAAAGTCCCCGCTTACTTAAAAAGGAAAACTGCACCCACGTTAATCAGAAATCCAAGTCAGGCATTTCTATGATGTCTGACTGAGGTTATTATCCTCGAGCTCTCCCTGGGAGGTAAGGACTCCAACCTCCAGGTAACATCAAGGACTCGAAGCTGACCACAGACTGTGACGCTGAAGCTTCCAGTCCATCATGGGACCCTGACGTTTGACTCAGACCACCTGCTGCTCCCAGACCCTTCCCCCATTTTTTCTTAGAACAAAGACCCTCACCTCATCTTCCTGCCTCGTCCCCTTTATATAGCCCAGAACAGGCATCAGAACTTGGGATGATTTTAGCTTCATCATCCCCCAGATGCCGGTCATCTGAATAAACCTTCTAATCCTTGCACCAGCGTCTGGACTTTCGAGTCATTTGTTTAATGCGAGAGGACAGCTGAGCCTGGCCTGTCGCTAACACTCACAGACACCTGGAGAAGAAAATCCTAAGTGTATTTAATGAAATGTAGACATTCTTTTAAGAAACTCTCCTTCAGTGTTCATAGTTAAAAGTTAAACATTTTCAAACTGCTCAAGGACTTTGGGAAATCATTTATTTTCTAGTAATCCACATGTTATTCTTATTTGCTACCACACCATGCCCAAGCTCTAACCCCATCAAAATAGTGCAGAAGACGCTGCCTTTCCACCTGCCACCCTGCGGCCCCTCCTCAGTACCTGCTGAGGAACCTACCTGGGAAGAGAGCAGAAGCTGACGGCCTCTGGTTTCCTGTGCTGTGGATGCTGCTTCTCTGTTTTCTTGTTTGTTTTGTTTCCCTTTCTTGGTGATTCTGAAATCAGTTTTTATGATGTTTATGGATATGCCCTGATTTGAGAAAATCTGATATGTTTAAAAATTAAAACTACAAAAGCAAAACAATTAGGAACCAGTTATTTTCCTAACAAAAGGGTTGCTGTTGGAGTTTTCCCTGAAGATCTCCTTTAAAATATCAAGCTCTGCTAATACATTATCATATATAATTGAATTTGCAAAAGTTAGATTCACGTACAACTTTACAGGGACACCCACAGTACACTTTCAGCAGATGTCCCAAAACTGCCAGTGTGAGTCTACCAAGATTTCCGTAGGGAGGGTCCAGCCCAGGGCCTTTTCATTAGGGGAAGTTCAATAAGATAAGCAACCATTCCCTTCAGTAACAATCCTATGTGTTATTAACGTATGGCTTAAAAAAGGAAGAAAACAGTAAGTCAAGGCTTTTCAACAAGAATAACCGTTATGAAAACAGAGTCACGTGAAGGTGCTTTTCACTTACAGTGAGTGTGATCACACTGACTCCATTCCCATGGGTGGTGTGGCTGAGTCACAGCACGTAATGGCCCTGCCATCTGTCTGTCCTTACGGTGGGTTTCCAGGCTGACAGAGCACCTCAAAACCACCTTTGGTCCTCAGGTAGGATTCGACTGGCTTGAAGTCTGGTAAAGGAAGATATTAAGAGACAGTGAAGGAGGGAGACACTGATGTCCAGCTCACATGGAGAAGTCCCGTCATTATTTCATGATGATAATTAACTTCAAGCTAATCGACCACTGTGAAGCTACACAGAGACGATCTTTAAAGATAATATTAACTATTGCCAAGTTAATATTCTTTTTTTTTTGCCCCAGTGACTGGTGATGAGTGAAATTAAAGCATCATAGGATATTTTATAGGCTGGCTGGTTAGCTCAGCTGGTTAGAGCACAGCCTTATAACACCAGGGTCCTGGCCAGCCACCAGCAAAAGAAAAAAAAAAAGGAGGATTTTAGAGCTAAGGAAGAAACTTTTTTGTCCAAGTTGGAAGAGCTGTTCACTATAGCGACTGTCCATGTTCTACAAATTGGCTTAGATAAGATCAGAAATGTAGACAGTGCCAGAACCAGATCTCAAAATTTGCAGATCAGTGTTTTTTCTTATCCTTCCACACCCATTTCAGGTTGTGTTGCTTTGCTTCCCATGGATTTGTCACCCCTTTTTCCCTGGGTGACGGAGCTGCCAAAGACTACTCAAAGCCCATCTCTTCTGAGCAGTTTGAAGCCCTGAAAACGGGTTAATCTCCTGGAACCCTTAAGAGCAAGGCATTCCTTCTAATAGATCTGCAACATAACGAGCGCCACTTTAGACAAGCGCAAGTACAAGATGGCCCCACCCACCTCCGCCCCTCTCCTCCCCTTTTCCCTTTAGGAGAAGCCTCCTGACTTAAACAGAAACCCCTTTTGCTTCCACAAGGACACAGTCCTCCACCCCAATCCACATTAGCACAATGCCCCTCCTTGATGGTATCAGCCAGCCCTTGGTGCACTATATAAGCTCTACCACCCCCACACCTGGTGCTGTCCCCTTTTCAGGGCAGCTCTGGGCTGCCTGCTACTTTGAGCACAGCCCAGATTTTCTTCCTTTAATAAACTTGAATGGTACCCGGCATCTTGGCTCACTTTCTTTCACCTTCCATTTGGGAAATGAACCCTGAATTGGGGTTCTCTTCCCACATTTATTCTCCAGACCACGAAGTTACAGGAAAAGAACATATGTGGGGCTTTTGGTAAGTACAGTTTAACAAGTTTAACAATAGAAGCTGGTACCATTCAGTAAGACAGGCAAGGTGACATTCTATAATGCAATTAAGTTGATCCACTAACAAAAGCTTGATCTTAGCAAACATTCTCCTCTTACAGAAACTTCCCAGTACTGTTACATATCAGTCAGTAATCTGTCTGTCTCTGAGCCAGCAACTTTGCTGTGTTACAATTCTTTATCTTACAATGGGGACTATAGCCTGGGGAAAGTTTCCTGTCTTTTGCAAGGTCAATATTTGAAACTGCCAGGCTTTGGAAAACCAGGCCTTGTGAAGTACATTTGCTTTATGCATACTTCACAAAGTTGCCCAGGACAGACATGATTTCACTGTAGCCATGTGGTGGTGGCTTTGCTGGCTTTGCTGGCAGCTTCACACAAGCTGCTTTTCAGCAATTGGAGTGTATACAGTGACAATATGTAACTAAACCAAGCTTTCTGGACCTGCCTGCGGAGACAGAGCCCACTTTCTTTTCGGTGTGTGTTAGATTGGGTTGGTGGCCTGTTTCTTGTCTTACATGTTAAGCACAGCATTATGATCATTGTTTTACACCTCAGTTTCAAGATATGTATGAAAACAGTGGGAGGAATACAAACTGTGTTAAATAAAAGCAAGTGTAGGCATTTAGAACTGAAAAAAGTAGAGAGTAGGCCAAGAAAGACTGTTCTGAATAAACTGATAGTGGTTCTGCTAGAGGTGGGAATTTAGATTAATGTTTTCCCTGCTTCTCTCTCTCACTCCCTTGCTCTCTTGCTCACTCACTATTATTTCGTTTTTCATTCCAATTTTTCTGTGTTGTTTCATGTATTTCATGTAAAAACTACACAGGCTTCTTTTAAAGATAAACTCCCTTAGAAGCATTTAATCTGAGGGTGATTCACACCCAAGGAGAAGTTGAGGAAATAAATTCACACTCAGTAGAGATTTCCAAATATTAGACCCTGTGTCTTTTTTCTTTCTTTTGTCATTCCTTACTCATTAGCAGAAGAGCTGAAAAGCGGTGTCAAGATCACTGATAACGTTTCTATTGCTTTTCTCTCCCTGGAAGGAAAGTGCTTTGTGGTCGTCATGTGTTTATATCTAAGAACCCATCCTGGTTTGAGTCCTTATTCCCTGTTTCTCTCCCCTGTTCTTCACTTCCTGTCTTTCCCCCCTTAATAGTTTGTGACCGATGTGCTTTTAGATATCGCCTTTGGTCAGTCCCAGAGCATGGTAAACAACAGACATTACTGTGAAGCGAACAAGAAAGTCGGCACATAAGACATAATGAATCCTAACAAGTGAGGAGAGAGTTTAAGTCCCTTTGACGTTGTTTTTTGGTTTTGGGGTTTGTGAAGCGAACAAGAAAGTCGGCACATAAGACATAATGAATCCTAACAAGTGAGGAGAGAGTGTAAGTCCCTTTGACGTTGTTTTTTGGTTTTGGGGGGTTTTTTGTTGTTGTTGTTTTTGTTTTGTTGTTATTGTTGTTGTTATTGTTTGCAGCTGGTCAGTATGGAGATTAGAACCCTTGACCTGGGTGTTGTCCCTTGAAGTCTGCATTTTGTGTTCCACCAAATCTTGCTAGATGGCTGTAGGGCAGAACTGGTGACTAAACAGGTGTGGGCAGTGAAGGTAAAGGAGATGTTGGAGATAAAATCTGGACATCTGGCTCCACTGAGTGATTAGATGCTGGTCCTGCTGGCTGAAGAAGGGGATACTGACAAGGTCAGATTCAGATAAAGACCTTAAGGGCCATTTTAGTCCACTGAGTTTTAGGTGACCTCACAGCACAGAATCCCATTCTAGAAAGAGCCAATTAGACAGGCTCTGTTCTTGGACCCAAGAGCATGTTTAACTCATGGTGAGAGGCACACAGGACTTCTGCACCCCACCATGCCTGATGTAATCACTGTCTACTGAAGTCCAGCCTGAGCACACACACACTGTACGTGGAAACTCCACTGCCCAAATGGCCACCATTGCCCTGCATATCCAGGACCCAATCCTTCTGGGGCACCAGAACCTTCCTAGTGTAGAAAGGCCTGGAGGTTGAAGTGACCAGTGAGGAGTGGCAAAAGTAGGTGATGAGAGATAGTTAGGGGAAGCCCCTATTTATGAAACCCAAGATGGCCCTTTTCAGGGCACAGGGTATGGCTCTGAGTCAAGGGCATTTGGTTGCAGGGAAGCCAGGGAGAGTAGATTCTGAAGGACAGGGCCACCAATCCTCCCAGGAGGCAGTCCTGCCCAATGGAACACTCCACCCCAAGGTAAGATGTTGTTAGGCCAAGATATCATGAACTTCTCAGAACACAGACAGTTTGTACAAAAAAAGGAGACATTTGGCTAGTGAGAAACTGAGCAGCATCCACCAGGTGGGAGGTAGGGAGGCTTGGCGATCTGGGTCTACAAGACATCTGCTTGAGAGAAGAGTGTCACCTCCAGGAGAGAGTCACAGGAAAAGTGTGTCTGAGTCCAGGATATGTCCCGCCTGGCCCGAGGTGCCTGGCACATATCTGAGAGGAGGGACATAGTTATGATCTAAGTATTAGTAATGACACAGACACCACCCTGACTACTGTATGGGCTACTTTGTACCACCCAAAAAAATTATGTTGCAGTCTTAACCCCAGGAACTTCAAAGGGTGACTGCATTTTGAGATAGGGTCTTTAAAGAGGTGGTCAGGTTAAAATGGGTCTAGGCCCTAATACAATCTGACTGTTCTCCTTACAACAAGAAGGGATTAGGACATACAAAGACACACCAGGGATGATTGTGCACAGAGGCTGACCATGTGAAGAGGAAGAGAGAAGGGAAACATCTGCCAGCCAAGGACAGAGCCTTAGGGAAAACCAATCCTGCCAGCACCTTGATCTTCAACATCCAGCCTCCAGAACTGGGAGAAAACACATGTCTGTTGTTTAAGCGGCCCAGTCTGTGGTGTTTTGTGTGGCAGCCCAGCAAACCCATACAAGTAGCTAATGTGAAATCTAGAGTAATGTGATGGGCTGTCTCATTCATACCAACAGGAGACTTATCTATACCCCATTTGGTGAGGAGGTGATATCATTCACAGCTTCTGCCGAAGTTAGTGATGTTTCTCTCATGAGTCAAATTGTGTTCTCCCTTCCCCCAAATTTATATGTTAAAGTCCTAATCCACACTACTACAGGATGAGATGTTATTTTGCAATACTGCCATTGTAGATGCAATTACTTAATAAAGTATGATTGAATTCCTTATAAACAGGGGGAATTCATGCACAGACCACACGGGAAAAACATTATGAGATGAAGGCAAACATCAGGGTGATGATTCTACAAGCCAAGGGATGTCACAGGTCGCCAGTACACTGCCAGAAGCTAGAGGACAGACATGGACCAGATCCTGTAGGATCAGAATGATTGAGGTGACCTCCTTTTGGAATTCCCATCTGAATCTTAATAACCAGTCTTGCCAATTTTAAGAATTAGAACTGCCGTGTACAGACAAGACTCAGAATATGAATCCAAAAGTACATGTGGTTTTAACCTGAAACATACTGTATCAGGTGCCCTTTCTGCAAAGGAGGTTGTATCTAGTAAGAATATATGGAAACCCAGGAGAAAAGGGGGTGTTCACAACGTGAGACAGAAACCAAGGTCTCCCGTTAGCTGGGTTACTATGAGTCTGGTGAATATTAGTCTCTTACAGGTGGCAAATACATGGCTCATTGCCCTAGAATGGTTGTAGAATTAAAATTCAGAATTGAAAAGGGTCATGTCAATAGATTGTAATAACCAGTTCTTTATCTGGGAGAGAGGGACAAACGGTTTGTCCAACTGTGTAGTACAATCCATTGAAGACTCACAAGTTAGTTTATTAGATGAGAACAAACATTTGTTAATGGCTTGGAAGAGAACTACCATATTAATTTCCCATTTGTTTAACCACTTAAAGGAAAATAGATGCATGATTTTTTCATCCTCTAAAATACATCTGCAAAAATAAACGTGGGTTCTAGAAGAGCAATACCTATATGACAACTAAAAACAAATAAAATTACTTAACACCATGCTGTAATTGACGCACATTCGAATTTCCCCGTTATTCTCACCATGCCCCAGGTTGATATGACAGGATTTAGTAAAGAATCAGAATTCTACCTCGTAACCACCTGGAAAGAGACTAGTCTTGATCCATCAGGGCCTGTTCTCCAGGTAACAAGAATCCGTGCTGAGAAAAAAAGAAAAAGAAAAATCTCCTTAGGTCCCTAGAGAATGGACCGCAGAGGCTTGTGGGAAATGCTGTGTCGCCGTCCAGTGACGTCACCAGCACAGGAGTACTAAACAGCTGCTCCAAGTTCCTTCTGTACTTGTGGGGCTCCGCTCGCTCAGCCATCTGGGAAATGTAGTTTCCCTCTGCAGTGAGGACACCTGCGCAGGACTACGGGAAAGGTCTCTTCTGCGCATGTGCGGCTCCGCCCACGCCGCCATCTTTCGTCTGTAAGTCCCGGATGCTGCGGACGCCTCAGAGCTGCTCCCCAGATCGTGCCAGTGGATTGTCAGCCCCTGAAGGTGGGTGCGAGGGTGGAAGAGGAACCCGCCGGCCTCCGGGGTCCCTGGGGATCTGGACGGTGTCCGGGCACTTGGGGGCAGAAGCGCCGCGGGCCTCGGGCGGGCGGGGCCTGACGTGCGGCGTGAGCGCGGGCCTGGGCCGGGCCAGGGAAGGGGCTCCCG